CTCCCAACCAAAAATGGCCACCGCATTCCAACCGGCATCGATGCCATCTCCGACACCCACGGACGGCCATCGTCGGACGCCGCTCCAGCCCCTCCTTCTCGCGTGCGAGGGAGGACCTCGCTTTTCACGTACGCCCCAGATCTGCTCCGAATCCATCCTTGCCGCGCCTCGATTCAGCCACCGCGGACGGATCCCACGCCGCCGCACGTCACCAGGACCTAGATGGCTGCGACGCTTCTTCTCTCTCCGCTCGCGGCCCAGATTCACCGCTGCCCTCGCCGGAGCTTGCTTCTCCACCGACGCCACCACTCCCTTTTTTTCTTTCCCTCTTCTAAGAAGGGTTCTTTCATCTCCAGCATCACCACCGAACATTTTCCCCTCTCTTTTTACTCATTCATTTTTTTTCTGAACCACGTTGCTTAGGTTTTACTCGATTATTACATTCTTTAATTTATTTTAATTCTCTTTTGTGGTGATGATGGGGCTGGGAAGAATTGAGAGATGATGGGGGGTTGGAGGAATTGGTTGGAGAAGATGAAGAAGGTGGTGGTGATAAAATACCACCAAGAACAGGAGGCACTGCAACAGGGGAAGCATTTGGAGAAGGGTTGGTTGAAGCCATCACGACACAAAATTTCAATTTTCAGATCAACCCTTCTACAAGCAATGCTCGAATTTCTTCAGAGAAAAAAAAAACACAACCACCATGACCCAATCCCTTAAAAAAAAAACACTTAACTTTGGCAAAGAGCAAAAAGTCAATACCCACAAACAACTTTCAAGAAAGCTAATACTTTAGTGAGGTACAACTGCCACATCATCAAAGACAACTGCCACATCATCAGTCCACTAACTCCGTTTCCTTCTATTTAACGGAAGGGACTCATTAGAGTCAATTAATTACAAGTAAGGATCCATTCAACTCACTTTTCTATAAAGGGACTAACTTGAGATTTCCGAACCAAAGTGGGGACAAAATTGGGTATTATGCCTTGAAAAAATTAACACATCAATATATTTTAAAAACACAAATTCCAAATTGAAAACAAAAAACAGAGGAACTATATTAAATTTTAAAAATAAAAAAAGAAAACAAAAAGAAATTTAGCCAGATAATTAAAAAGAGATATTCGTAAATGTTGGTACCTGGACATGGAATTATTCCTTCTACCAGCATCTCCAGCATAAATTAAAGGGTAACTTTTCTGTGTTGGACTAAACGTATTCAATGAGATTCCCTGCATACATGTTTAGGGAAATATTTTATGTTACTTTTCTAATATTTTAAAAAATAAGTAAAATAATTAAAGGGATAATTACATGGAAGATTCGGCCATTGCCCAGTTGGAGTTTGGTCGAAAACTTTCTGTCTGTAGTGGAAGCAGCCACGGTAATGATCCAGGGTGCAGGATTTGTCATTGTGCCACGGTGTGGACCAGCATTGCCTGCAGCTTTAGAAGTTAATATGCCTCTCTTCATTGCATGGAAGGCTCCTATTGCAAATTCATCATCAAAATAATCGGTGAATGTGACCATTCTAGGTCCCAATGAAACAGATATAATGTCAACACCATCCTGAATGGCTGCATCAAATCCTGCTAAAATGTCAGCATTACTACAACCAGTCTTCCAACAGACTTTATACACAGCAATGCGTGCTGATGGAACTTCTCCTCTCAGTGTTCCTGTGCCAAGCCCGAACAGATTTGCATTGCTAACAGAGTTTCCAGCAGCAGTCGATGCAGTGTGAGACCCGTGACCCAACGTATCAACGGGAGATATGATGTCGGCAATATCAGCATCAACCCGAAAATATTTTGCTCCAATTATTTTGCTACAAACAAATCATGAAGCAAGCATTCGTGGACGTTAAAATTTGACATGAAAAAACAAAAGTGAGTTTCGAAAATGAAACCAGACATGGTCTTTATGTATATGTGTTATAGCATGTTATAACAAGCATCACTTACTTATTACAAGTGAAGTTTTGGCATGATCCTTTCCATCTCTGTGGTGGTGGACCAAGGCCTCTGTCGCTGAAGCTTGAGGAATTTGGCCAAATTCCAGTATCGAGTATTCCAACGATTGTGTCACTTTCTACCTTTGACCTTTGGACATTTTCAGGGAAGCCAATGAAGTTCCAGGACCTTGTTGTTTGGATACTGTGGATTCTATTTGGAATGACAGAAACCACCTCATCCATTCCTGCCAAACATTCCAAATTTTCACAAAATGCATACATCATAATTACAGTTACATATATAGACTCACAATCATATTAAAACTACCTTTCATTCTTTCTGATTCTTCCTTGGTCAGCCTCGCTACAAATCCATTGAAACTCTTGTAGCTGTGAAGCAAAGTATCTGGGGCAAGTTTTCTGGATGGATATATGCCATTTCCAATTTTAATAACGTAATTTTAATTATGAGTTATAAGATAATTTTAATTGAAAGGAAAAGGAAGATAAATTATAAATTCAATCCCTTTATTAATATTCAGAAGCTACAAAAATAGTTTGAAAAATATTTAGAAACTAAAATATTACTTTGAAATTTTCTTAAAAAATATGAAAAATATTGTGAATTTGACTATCCCATTAACAAATATTAACAATTAATAATTTTTGATAAAAAAATAGTTAAAACACTCATTCTTATATATAATAGGTTTAAAATAAAGTAATTGCTCTTCTTTCCGAGCATTCTATTTCATTCATTTTTCGTTTATAAGTCAGAAGATTACTTGAATTTGAAAATGTTGCGCAGGCAAACAAAGAACTATTATTAAATAAAGGGTTAAATATGTTTTTAGTCCCTAAACTATTGACCATTTCTGATTTTCGTCCCTCTTCCAAACTAAGGTACAATTTGGTCCTCAATCTTTAAAAAACGTTCGTTTTAGTCGAAAAAACGAACGTTTTGAGGACTAAAACGAGGACTAAAAACAAAATTTTGAGGACTAAAACGAACGTTTTTCTAAAGAATGAGGACCAAATTGTACCTTAGTTTGAAAGAGGGACGAGCCAATAGTTTAGGAACTAAAAACATATTTAACCCTTAAATAAACAATGTTAAACTAAGCCCCTTGATAGTGTAAATCTGCTCTCTAAGTTGAAGTAGAATCTATCAAAGCCTATGAATTAAAAATATGTCTAGTTTGACACATTTCTGTAACTAATTATAATTTATTTTGTAATTATCTTTAATTATTTGAAACTTGTTGTATATCCGAGCTCACACGTTCATATGTATTGAAATGATTATATGTACGCAAAAATATGAATTGAGTGTTATCTCCAAACAAAGCAACAATTATATAAAAGCTAACATTTGAAATATAATAAGAAACGAAAATAGGTAGCCGTTTTTGATGAATGTTCTAATGAAAATTGGGAGCTAAAATTGTGTAATAATATATGACCTGCTGATGGCACTTTGAACCACACTAGTGTGAAGTGACTCTGTGAATTCCACGCCCTTGGGATATTCCCCCATGTAGACTATGTAAATCTGTATTAGATTACAATATGAACAAAATAAATTAAAAAAAATAAAGATTAATTTAAAATAATAATAGTCCTACTAGGATAATTTCATGTGGATAAAATCATTTTTAGGTTAATTTGTTTATTTTAAAAATAATCCAAGCTCTTTTTAACTTGAAAGTTTTCCAATAATTTTTATAATTGTTTAAAAAAAATCATAAAAAGATAAGAACGTAAGAGTAATCTATGGAAAGATATAGCTTCTGAAGTATTGTACAGAATTAGAGGATACAGCAGAAGTATATGTTTGGGAAAGTATATGGGATATATGTTATTAACCTTTCGATCATCTTTAGAAAATGAGGGAGTGAGTAGCAGAATGCATGTAAGAATTTGGAGAAGACGCGACAACCCTAAAGCGTTCATCTTAATGTGTTTGAAGCTCTTTCAACCTGTGAGCAAATTTAATGTCTAGATGTGAATGCCGCTAACTTTATTAGCAGATATTAACATACTACAGTAAGTGGACATTTGAAACACATTGCAGAATGGAAATTGTAAAGGTGCACATACAGTAATATCTATGTAGCAAATTGGGAATGAAAACAGAAACAGAGGAAAAAATAAAACACACACACACATATATATATATATATATATATATATATATATATATATATTAAGAAAGAGGAAAAAAAAGGAAGAAATTAAAACTTAATATGTGATAGTTGAAATTATTAAAAATAATTTTAAAATGTGCATTTATTAATAATTTAAAACCATAGTGAAAAAAGTTAATGTCATTTGATATTTAACATACATATAATTAAGGACAAAGTTCAGAATATTTTTTATTATAAATAATTACTTTAGTTTAAAAATGATTAAATTTAAAAATAAAATGTTGAATTAAAAAACGGTTAAATTTAAAAAAGAGATTAAATTTTAAGAAATGATCAATTGTTACTTAACAAAAGAATAAACTAGAAAAAAAAGTTATCTTTATACAGTATAAATATGAAAAAGTTGAAGACAATAAATTTATTACTTCTAAAATTTAAAGTTGAAAATAATGTCAACTTTAAATGTGACTGGAATTCATATTAATATTATATGTGTTAATTAAATTTCTTAAAAATTCATCAATTTTATTATAATTAGATATAAAAAAAGTTTAATTGTCATAAATAAAAGTACAATAAAAACAAAAGTTATAAATAAAAGCAAAACATGGTATTATTCAAGTGCATTCAAAAGTAAATAATTCAATTTCTGGTATAATTAACAATAAATTTAATACTACTTGCATAACAAATATAAATCAGTAAACTAATAGTAATGGGCAAGTAGAGTAACAGTTATATTGGGAATAAACCACTCTCAGAAAAAAAGCAATAAAATTAATTAGGGATAATGTTAACGCTTAACGTTTACAGAAATTAAGAGAAAGCTATTATATATGATTTGATTAATTTTGAAACAAAAGTAATCCAAGTTATTAATAAAAAAAATGTCTGCAATATGAGGAGATTTCTTTATTAGATGAAAATGAAACTGAATCAAATTACACTTTTATGCGATTATTTTTAAAATACAAATCATGTTATTATGTACTGTTGAACAATTATTTAACTTGAAGAATTAATAAGAAATGAATTTATAAACTAAAATATTTCCTATAAATTGTTGACAAATATTATATAATTATAATTACAAATTCATAATAAAATAATTATGCTGACAGGTAAAATAACTTTGTATTAAATAATTAAAATACTGAATAAAGAATAAATATAAAAAAATATTATACATCTGACCGTTTTAAGTCACTTTTTAAGTCAAACCACTAACTGAACCTAATTGCATGATTTGGAAAAGAAAAATCTAATACAATTCGATAATGTTTTGTTTGTGATGGTTTATTCAGTCGGTTTTCAATATTCAAATTGAGGTAGCTGGAATTTTAACAACCTTTTTATAGAATCTTACCAATAAAAGAATGAAAATAGAGGATTCTTATAAATACAATATATATANATCATGCTTAACTCATCCAATTAAATGAACTGACTTTTAATTTGTTTTTCATTTCACCAATAAAATTATTCAGTAAAAAACTTAATAATTAACTATTAATTTTGTATTTCATTTATTTACTGGTTTAATGTTTCACCTCCTATTTTTCTTATTATTTTTAGGTAATCCTTTTAGCCATTTTAACACACTTTCTTACGTGTTAATTTTAATAAAATATTTAATCTTAAAAAATTTAATTTATAATTGCTTAAAAATATGTTTAAAGATACAATTTCCTAAAAGTATATTTTAGCAACACAAAAGTAAGACGTACAAAATTATGCATGTGTTATTTGAAATGTGTTACTATTCATTGCTTTTGTTTAATTTAATGCCCATATTAGTTATCCTCTTAAATTCATTTATTTAGATAATCTAGTTTATGGCAACGGTATTTCATTTTGTAATTAGCAAATCCACTCCAGTTTATTAGTAAGACACAGAATTCAAATCTGTTTTGAAGTAGTCAAATACAAAGAGCACAGCTGATTGACAAGTTTTTTTTTCTAGTACTTTTGGTACGATGTTCCATCGCACTTCGTAGAACATGAAGTTTTGATAAAAACGTGTTAAATGAGAGACCAAGTATATATCAGCAGACCAGGTTATATATTATAAGACCCTAATTACATAACATTTTTTGTCCACTTTCATCTTCTCTTTATATATATCATCCAATCTTTGTTTTTTAAAAAAGCTTAACTAATCCTTATCTTATGATTTGGCATATAATTCCCTTTTCAGGCTGCGTGATAAAAATAATGTCTATTACTGGGGGCTTGCCAAATTAAACCATGGAACAATGAAATTTTTATCAATATTAATATATTATTTTTTTTATTAGCTAACTATATTATAAGTATGAAGTATTCGGTCATTTTGAAAATCCCGTAGTTGATTATTTTTAAGGGTGGTGACACACAAACACTCCGTTTTTTTTTCTCAACCTCTATCCAACTCCAATAAAATAACAATTTTACGTTAAAATATAGTAGAAAGTATTTTTTTTTTAATTGGGCATAGAAAAACGAAGAGAGGTACATGAAATTTTTCCTATTTTTAAAGAAATATTACGAAAATTTAAAATTATTTATTTATGATAATTGGGGTGTAATTAATGCATGGTGTTTGTTGATGTATATCTCTTAACAGGAAGAGAGTTTAATTTGTTGTTTGCTTCTACCACCATGTTATTATATATATATACATACACACGCAAAGACAGTTTCTTTCATCCATAGTGATATCCTTAATTTTCCTGAGGTTTCTATATAGCTTGGCTATTACTGTTTCTCTGTCTGTCTTTTCTGGAACTGCATTTCAAGACAACAATTGGCCAAAAGTTTATAACAACATCAAAGGTATGTGCATAGATAGATGATTCATGATGTGTGTATATATATATATATATATATATATATATAGTATAAAATCATTTTAATTGTTATTGACTTAAGATCTTTCAATTCAATTAATATGTAATTTTGAATATGAAAATAAATATTAATAAAAAATTTAATAAATAAAAAAATTCAAAAAAAAGTGATACAATAAATTATCTGAAAAAAAAAACAAAATAAAGAAGCAATAGAAATTAACAGAAGAAAAAAAGAGATATTAATAAGGTATTAAAAATAGGATTAGAAAAGGGACATACTCAGTTGAGTCGAGCAGAGCGTTTATCTGACTTGAGTAAGAAAGGATAAGAATACACGTAAACTTTCTCACCTTTTATAGCCACTACATTGGATGCAACTATGGTCCACTCTTTTCACATTTAATTTATAATTAAGAAAAAAAATTTAATTTCGTAAACTTTTCAGAGAAAAAACTTTTACGTTTTATAACGTCCTTTCTTAATACAATAATTTGACTTTTAATATAATTATAGTTTGAGAAATAGTTATTACTTGTATTAATTATATCTTTATAATAGTAAGATATGAGATCAGATTCCATCATAATGTCGTCAAATATTTGTATATTATAAATTTTATTATTTTTAAGAAAAATCAAATTATTATTTTCATATTTATCATAAAAAGCTAAAACAATAAATGGTAAAATAAAAATATTAACAAATAAAAATTATATATTTTACTAAATATAAATATAAATACAAATAAGTAAATAAACAAAACTAGTGTACTATAAATATAAATATAAATATACAAATAAAGTAATAAAAATAAACATAAATAAATAAAAGAGTTTTCTAAAAGAAACAAATTTAAATGAGTTGTATGAAAATATAAGATTTATAAAAATAATAGTTTACAAAATAACTTCAACATCATCTAAAAAAACAGCAAATGAAATTAAATTTAAAACCATTCTTCTATTCTTATTTTTTTTTTCACCAATCATTTTATTTTGATCAGTATTTTGTTTTTAAAAAAATTCAAATTTTAGTGGATAATATTATGTTGAAAACCATGATTATAAAATGACAACGGAGGGAGAAGAGGAGGCAGGGACGGGACATAGAGAAAGGGTTTGGGTGGGTGGTGTGGGGGGTGGGACATTTGGGTTGGTGGAGAATGAGTTTTTGTTAAGCTGATCATGGGTTACTCATTGAGTCAACTTAACCCAGCTCATTTATTAGCAAGTTGAAAAAATTTGAATCAGCTCCACTCATCACAGCGGGTTAACTCACTAGCTCACTTAATTATAAGTTTTTTTTAAATAAAAAATTATAATTTTTTAATTCAAATCTAAATAAATTTCACTTTAAAATAATGTTAAACTCAAAAGACAATTCAAAATAAAAACAAGCATAATCCAAAAACAAGCACAAAAGATGAATAAATAAGTTCTTAATATTGATAATTTTTTGGCTTAATACCCTATTTTGTCCCCAGTTTCGTTTGAAAATGTCAAATTAGTCCATCCTTTAAAAAATGCGTCAATTACGTCCTCACTTAATAAAATTTGCATCAATAAAATCCCTTCCGTTAAATCCGTACAAACGGCGTTAATTATTTTTCTCTTTCTTTAATTAACGCTGCTTGTACGGATTTAACGGAAGGGATTTCATTGATGCAAATTTTATTAAGTGAGGACGTAATTGACGCATTTTTTAAAGGATGGACTAATTTGACATTTTCGAGCGAAACTGGGGACAAAATAGGGTATTAAGCCTATTTTTTATATCACTTGAACATCTATAATATTAAAGTTTTGAATGGATAAATTATAATATTTTTCTCTTGAAACATCTTTTTTTTATCTCATCTACAATATAATAAAAAAATACTAGAAACACAAAATAATACATAATTAAATTAAATCGGCTCACCACGGGTTCAACCCGCGTGAGCCGCGTTAAAAACTAACCCACATAAAAATTACATTTTTTTCAAAAATCCAATGTGAGTCAGGTTGACTCGCAGGTTAGAACATGTTTTTACAACACTAGTTTTGTTATCTCATATCTATCACTAAAGAAAAAATCTATCATTATCCTCGTACTCAAACTCAATAAGTAGTAAGTTCTCGTATCCATTTTCACTTGATAACAGGTATATAAATGTATTTGTGTCTATACACACTATTTCAATATCAATTAATTACTTTCATAAAATAATAAAAAATCATGCAAAAAAAATATATAATATTATGAAATATTCAATATCAAAAAGATATTCTATAATATTAAATATTTAATAAAAAATTATAATTGTATACCTTTCAAACTAAGATACCAACTAAAAGTTTAATACATTTATTAAATTTTGAATTATTAAAATTTAAAAATATATTTAAAAAGTTATAAAAAGAATATAAATATTCAAATTAAAAATAATTTAAATGTCTCTTTCCCTTCTTAAAAATGTAATGCATTTTTTTTATACATTAATAAAAATTAAAATACACCACTTAAATAAAAAATAATTATACAAAAAATACAAAAATAATATTTTACATGATAAAAATAAATAACAAGGTTTAACAGTGAAAATTATTAAATTTATTAGAGACTTAAAATATAATTAAGCCAATAAATAATTAACATTTAATTTATATCTGAATCAAAGCTAAATAAGATATCTCAATTTAAAAATTTAAAATAATGAATTTATGAATTTTTTTCTTTAATAATCAATATATATATATATATATATATATATATATATATATAAATTATAAAAAATATTTAGTGTAAATTTTATTAGAATTAATATAATATTCTCGCATTTTAGATTTCATGTTTCTTTTGTCATATTTTAGACTTTATCATAATGTATTATCTTGTTAAATGCTATAAGTTCTTTTCTCTAAGAAATTGATAAAATTATAGTGAAGAATTATATTAAATTATATATTATATATTTTATCTAAATAAGTATGATATAAAATATTAATTTAAATATAATAAATTTATAATTTATTAAATTATTTAATAAAATATATAATTTTATATGTGTATATAAATAATTTTGTTTCTAAGATTTAATTAAAATCTTGTAGTAAAAATCAATTAATCTTAATTTATTTGAGAGGAAGTTTTGGAGATTGAGACTTTTTTTACTTTTACTTTTGAGAGAATTTCTTAAACAGAGTTATTTTAAGAATGGATTAAGACTGATGCATAAATCATGATAAATTGACAAGTCTAATTGTGAGTCTTAACCTAGTCTTAGGTGACACTGACTGTGTGTTATGGAAAGTCCACGCCAACGTTATAGCCTCTACTCTTTTAGAGTCCGTTTCTTGACCGACACAAAACCAATGTTAATCATAACTTAGTAGAGGTTTTTTGTCATTTCGGTCGGTCTTTGGCAACACTATTTTCATATTTTCTTGTATGTGAGTAACTTATAAGAACTACCAACACATCTATAACTAACTTAACTTAGGCCAAACACCAATTACAAAGAAAATGAAATCTGTCTCTATCACAAACCAGTTCAAAGATGACTTTTTATGCATTCAGATATTGTCATATCTCAACTTGTTACGTAACTCAACACAAGAAAACTTAGTAGAAAGAAGGTATAATTATCGATGCCAGTTTCTTTCTCACCTCCCATATATAGAATATCTAAGACAAGACCCCATTCCAAACCCTGCATCAAAACCTATTAAAAAGAAACACAACCTTGTTATTTGATGATTACTACATTGGCCATTATCTCATACATTTATATTGCTAACAAGGACCAACTGTTATCTCTTTTCAAAAAGCAATGATAATGCATATATATACATTATAATAATGACATAAATTACTCAGAAGGAGTTGTAGAAAGTACTTTAGATAAGAGAAATTATTATCTTGATTTTATTCCTGGCTTACATAGCACTTTATCATTATTTCTGTGGCCTTACAAAGAAACAAAATCATTGCCATTGAAGTTGTTTCTTTGTTATACTGACAAGTGCTAGTAGCAGAAAATTTATGGAACATAAACAACAACGGGGCTCCTTGCCTTAAGAGTGCCATCATCCCAAATCAAAGAAAAAGAAACCAAGTCTGCATTAATGCTTCCTTCAATCTTAAGGGTAAAAGACAGCTTCTGACCCAACGATGAGAAGGCCAAAACATTTGGCACTACTTCGACCTTCAAAGAAGATGGATGTGCAGTTATCGTGGCCCTATATTTGGATGTAACTGATCCAACATTTGTAACAGTTCTAACAAAAGTGACATTGTTGTGGCTTGAGCGAGGGGTTGATAGAGCAAAAGATGGGAGATTAAGGTTGAAAACAGACTCTGTATTTGCTGATGTGCAAATTATATCAGCTCCGGTAATTATTCGCAGCGCTGATGAATTGTAACCTTGTCCACACAGAAAACTAATATAATCATATTCATCAACATCATAAACTAGTCCAGGATTTACTGCTTTCAAAGGATTGAGTTGCCCCGCACCGTAAGAAAATTCAGCATCTACATTCAGTGCAGGATTCATAGGAGTAGCTGCAAATAATGAACGAACAAATTTGGTCCTTAACATGTATACTTCGCCATTAAGNTTGGCCATTATCTCATACATTTATATTGCTAACAAGGACCAACTGTTATCTCTTTTCAAAAAGCAATGATAATGCATATATATACATTATAATAATGACATAAATTACTCAGAAGGAGTTGTAGAAAGTACTTTAGATAAGAGAAATTATTATCTTGATTTTATTCCTGGCTTACATAGCACTTTATCATTATTTCTGTGGCCTTACAAAGAAACAAAATCATTGCCATTGAAGTTGTTTCTTTGTTATACTGACAAGTGCTAGTAGCAGAAAATTTATGGAACATAAACAACAACGGGGCTCCTTGCCTTAAGAGTGCCATCATCCCAAATCAAAGAAAAAGAAACCAAGTCTGCATTAATGCTTCCTTCAATCTTAAGGGTAAAAGACAGCTTCTGACCCAACGATGAGAAGGCCAAAACATTTGGCACTACTTCGACCTTCAAAGAAGATGGATGTGCAGTTATCGTGGCCCTATATTTGGATGTAACTGATCCAACATTTGTAACAGTTCTAACAAAAGTGACATTGTTGTGGCTTGAGCGAGGGGTTGATAGAGCAAAAGATGGGAGATTAAGGTTGAAAACAGACTCTGTATTTGCTGATGTGCAAATTATATCAGCTCCGGTAATTATTCGCAGCGCTGATGAATTGTAACCTTGTCCACACAGAAAACTAATATAATCATATTCATCAACATCATAAACTAGTCCAGGATTTACTGCTTTCAAAGGATTGAGTTGCCCCGCACCGTAAGAAAATTCAGCATCTACATTCAGTGCAGGATTCATAGGAGTAGCTGCAAATAATGAACGAACAAATTTGGTCCTTAACATGTATACTTCGCCATTAAGTTTTACCACAAACAATTCAAGTTAATCTAGTTTTTTTCCAACAGAAAATGTACTTTAAGCTGGTTTCTGCATAAGGTTTTAGGTTATCATATCTTCTCTTTATGTTTATACATTTTTCCTACATTTTTAGGGGGTTATAAAAGGTTGATAACTGCATTATATTATATAAATACCAGTTGTCATCAACGCGGATTTTATAGCAGCAGGAGACCAGTTGGGATGAAATGATTTGACGTAAGCAGCTGCTGCAGTAACATGAGGGCATGCCATTGAAGTTCCAGATAATATACTGAAATTTGATACTCTTTTGTCTCCTTTAAAGCGAGAAACAGGAGAAATCGGAGGCCATGCAGCCAGAATTTGAACTCCTGGAGCTGCTATATCAGGCTACAACATCAGCAGAAAACTTATATATATAAGCAAATAAGCTTTAATCGGTTGGGTTGATTTTACTTTGTAGCATGATGTTACCTTAAGAATGTTTGGAGTGACCATATTTGGACCTCTCGATGAGAAAGGAGCAATGTAAGGGGCTGATGAATCTTTTCCTTCGTAACTCTTGAATATGGTAGCTGCTGGATTACTACAATAATCGATGACATGACATATAATTTGATTAAAGTTATACATCACTTATGTATGATCTTTGTAGATTGATGAAAAGTTTTATACCTTGTTGACTTTAAATAAGAAGATACGGAATTCCCATCACTTGCGGTGATGCGAATCGCTGGCAATGCAAATACACCTGCCCCAACTAAAGGCAATGTACTACTGAATATAAGACCAGCAGCCCCAGAAGCAAATCCCACATATTGAGAAGGAGTATAGCCATGACACAAAACAATTTTCCCTTTCACCAAAGCTCCATCCAAAGAATTTTCACGGCAAAACCTAAGCAACGCTAATGTTAGAATGGACTTTTGATTAGTAACATAGGGAAAGATTAGTAACAAACTGCCCAAATAATAAGGTTAAATTACTTTTTTTAATTCCTTTAATTATTTATAAAACTCTATTTTCCCTCTCCAGATGCTCAATTTAATCACTTAATTTTCTAACAAAAATCAAATATTGTCTTCTCCATCTAAATAATAAAGTTGATTGATCGTATAAAGAATAGGATAAACCATACTTTGTGACTATCTTAACTATACATAGATGCAATTAAAACACCACAATAATTTAATATTTTTTATTTATTAAGAAAATTATTTATGTTTTGAAATTAATTGCATCTAGTGAGGTTCAGAAACTATCACTTGAATAACTAATATTAATTAAATTTAATTTACTAAAATTTAATTCAAGTCTGATGATTTTTTTTATATTTAAAAATGGAAACGTTTTTTTTCTAAAAACTAATTAGTATTTATTATAGCGACCGTTTTAAACTGTCATTGTGTAATTTTTCTTTTATTTTTTAAAGAAAAATTATAATATTATTGTAGTGATAAAAATTGAAATCGTTATAAGTGTTAACCCATTAATTCAATATTGCTTCTTCAACTGTGTCAACTTATTTAAGAAGATTAAGACACCAAATTGAACCCTTTAGAATAAATGAAGTATATTAAATTTTAGAAATAAAGAAAGAAAATAGAAAAGAAATTTAATCAGATAATTAAAATGAGATATTGGAAAATGTTGGTACCTCGATGTGGAACTGTTAAATCCAGCAGCTGGTGCATCTCCCCCATAAATTAAAGGGTAACTCTTCTGTGTTGGACTAAATGTATTCANATATATATATATATATATATATATATATATATATATATATATATAAATTATAAAAAATATTTAGTGTAAATTTTATTAGAATTAATATAATATTCTCGCATTTTAGATTTCATGTTTCTTTTGTCATATTTTAGACTTTATCATAATGTATTATCTTGTTAAATGCTATAAGTTCTTTTCTCTAAGAAATTGATAAAATTATAGTGAAGAATTATATTAAATTATATATTATATATTTTATCTAAATAAGTATGATATAAAATATTAATTTAAATATAATAAATTTATAATTTATTAAATTATTTAATAAAATATATAATTTTATATGTGTATATAAATAATTTTGTTTCTAAGATTTAATTAAAATCTTGTAGTAAAAATCAATTAATCTTAATTTATTTGAGAGGAAGTTTTGGAGATTGAGACTTTTTTTACTTTTACTTTTGAGAGAATTTCTTAAACAGAGTTATTTTAAGAATGGATTAAGACTGATGCATAAATCATGATAAATTGACAAGTCTAATTGTGAGTCTTAACCTAGTCTTAGGTGACACTGACTGTGTGTTATGGAAAGTCCACGCCAACGTTATAGCCTCTACTCTTTTAGAGTCCGTTTCTTGACCGACACAAAACCAATGTTAATCATAACTTAGTAGAGGTTTTTTGTCATTTCGGTCGGTCTTTGGCAACACTATTTTCATATTTTCTTGTATGTGAGTAACTTATAAGAACTACCAACACATCTATAACTAACTTAACTTAGGCCAAACACCAATTACAAAGAAAATGAAATCTGTCTCTATCACAAACCAGTTCAAAGATGACTTTTTATGCATTCAGATATTGTCATATCTCAACTTGTTACGTAACTCAACACAAGAAAACTTAGTAGAAAGAAGGTATAATTATCGATGCCAGTTTCTTTCTCACCTCCCATATATAGAATATCTAAGACAAGACCCCATTCCAAACCCTGCATCAAAACCTATTAAAAAGAAACACAACCTTGTTATTTGATGATTACTACATTGGCCATTATCTCATACATTTATATTGCTAACAAGGACCAACTGTTATCTCTTTTCAAAAAGCAATGATAATGCATATATATACATTATAATAATGACATAAATTACTCAGAAGGAGTTGTAGAAAGTACTTTAGATAAGAGAAATTATTATCTTGATTTTATTCCTGGCTTACATAGCACTTTATCATTATTTCTGTGGCCTTACAAAGAAACAAAATCATTGCCATTGAAGTTGTTTCTTTGTTATACTGACAAGTGCTAGTAGCAGAAAATTTATGGAACATAAACAACAACGGGGCTCCTTGCCTTAAGAGTGCCATCATCCCAAATCAAAGAAAAAGAAACCAAGTCTGCATTAATGCTTCCTTCAATCTTAAGGGTAAAAGACAGCTTCTGACCCAACGATGAGAAGGCCAAAACATTTGGCACTACTTCGACCTTCAAAGAAGATGGATGTGCAGTTATCGTGGCCCTATATTTGGATGTAACTGATCCAACATTTGTAACAGTTCTAACAAAAGTGACATTGTTGTGGCTTGAGCGAGGGGTTGATAGAGCAAAAGATGGGAGATTAAGGTTGAAAACAGACTCTGTATTTGCTGATGTGCAAATTATATCAGCTCCGGTAATTATTCGCAGCGCTGATGAATTGTAACCTTGTCCACACAGAAAACTAATATAATCATATTCATCAACATCATAAACTAGTCCAGGATTTACTGCTTTCAAAGGATTGAGTTGCCCCGCACCGTAAGAAAATTCAGCATCTACATTCAGTGCAGGATTCATAGGAGTAGCTGCAAATAATGAACGAACAAATTTGGTCCTTAACATGTATACTTCGCCATTAAGTTTTACCACAAACAATTCAAGTTAATCTAGTTTTTTTCCAACAGAAAATGTACTTTAAGCTGGTTTCTGCATAAGGTTTTAGGTTATCATATCTTCTCTTTATGTTTATACATTTTTCCTACATTTTTAGGGGGTTATAAAAGGTTGATAACTGCATTATATTATATAAATACCAGTTGTCATCAACGCGGATTTTATAGCAGCAGGAGACCAGTTGGGATGAAATGATTTGACGTAAGCAGCTGCTGCAGTAACATGAGGGCATGCCATTGAAGTTCCAGATAATATACTGAAATTTGATACTCTTTTGTCTCCTTTAAAGCGAGAAACAGGAGAAATCGGAGGCCATGCAGCCAGAATTTGAACTCCTGGAGCTGCTATATCAGGCTACAACATCAGCAGAAAACTTATATATATAAGCAAATAAGCTTTAATCGGTTGGGTTGATTTTACTTTGTAGCATGATGTTACCTTAAGAATGTTTGGAGTGACCATATTTGGACCTCTCGATGAGAAAGGAGCAATGTAAGGGGCTGATGAATCTTTTCCTTCGTAACTCTTGAATATGGTAGCTGCTGGATTACTACAATAATCGATGACATGACATATAAATTGATAAAAGTTATACAGCACTTATGTATGATCTTTGTAGATTGATGAAAAGTTTTATACCTTGTTGACTTTAAATAAGAAGATACGGAATTCCCATCACTTGCGGTGATGCGAATCGCTGGCAATGCAAATACACCTGCCCCAACTAAAGGCAATGTACTACTGAATATAAGACCAGCAGCCCCAGAAGCAAATCCCACATATTGAGAAGGAGTATAGCCATGACACAAAACAATTTTCCCTTTCACCAAAGCTCCATCCAAAGAATTTTCACGGCAAAACCTAAGCAACGCTAATGTTAGAATGGACTTTTGATTAGTAACATAGGGAAAGATTAGTAACAAACTGCCCAAATAATAAGGTTAAATTACTTTTTTTAATTCCTTTAATTATTTATAAAACTCTATTTTCCCTCTCCAGATATGCTCAATTTAATCACTTAATTTTCTAACAAAAATCAAATATTGTCTTCTCCATCTAAATAATAAAGTTGATCGATCGTATAAAGAATAGGATAAACCATACTTTGTGACTATCTGAACTATACATAGATGCAATTAAAACACCACAATAATTTAATAATTTTTATTTATTAAGAAAATTATTTATGTTTTGAAATTAATTGCATCTAGTGAGGTTCAGAAACTATCACTTGAATAACTAATATTAATTAAATTTAATTTACTAAAATTTAATTCAAGTCTGATGATTTTTTTTATATTTAAAAATGGAAACGTTTTTTTTCTAAAAACTAATTAGTATTTATTATAGCGACCGTTTTAAACTGTCATTGTGTGTAATTTTTCTTTTATTTTTTAAAGAAAAATTATAATATTATTGTTGTGATAAAATTTGAAATCGTTATAAGTGTTAACCCATTAATTCAATATTGCTTCTTCAACTGTGTCAACTTGTCAACTTATTTAAGAAGATTAAGACACCAAATTGAACCCTTTAGAATAAATGAAGTATATTAAATTTTAGAAATAAAGAAAGAAAATAGAAAAGAAATTTAATCAGATCATTAAAATGAGATATTGGAAAGTGTTGGTACCTCGATGTGGATCTATTAAATCCTGCAGCCGGTGCATCTCCCCCATAAATTAAAGGGTAACTCTTCTGTGGACTAAATGTATTCAGTGAAATTCCCTGCATATGTTGAGGAAAATCTTTTATGTCACGTTTTTAATATTTTAAAAAATAAGTAAAATAATTAAAGGGATAATTACATGGAAGATTCGGCCATTGCCCAGTTGGAGATTGGTTAAAAAATTTCTGTCTATGGTGGAAGCAGCCACGGAAATTATCCACGGTGCAAGATTTGACATTGTGTAAGGTTTTGAACCCGAATTGCCTGCAGCTTGGGAAGTTAATATGCCTCTCTTTATTGCATGGAAGGCTCCTATTGCAAATTCATCTTCAAAATATTTCAGGTGTTTGACGTGTTTATGTCCCACTGAAAGAGATATAATGTCAACACCATCCATAATGGCTGCATCAAATCCTGCAAGAATGTCAGCAGTTCTACAACCATTTGTCCAACAAACTTTATACACAGCAATACGTGCTGACGGAACTCCTCCTCTTGCTGTTCCTAAGCCAAGCCCAAACAAACTTGCATTCCTAACAGGGTTTCCAGCAGCTGTTGATGCACAGTGAGACCCGTGACCAATGTTATCAGTTGGAGATATGATGTCCTCTTGGGCGAACACACCATCAAGACGAAAATATTTTGCTCCAATGATTTTGCTATAAACAAATCATTAGGCAAGCATTCATGATAAGTAAATCAATGGTCAGTTTTATCTTTTAATAATTATTATGTTGAAAATTTTATTACTTTAATTTAGGTATATGTGTTGTAGCATGTTATAGGAAAATGATACTTCAACAACCATTTTTGACAACATTTAGACATGCGCACACGTGTCAAAATCTGAGTGGTCCATTTTCATTTAATTTTTCCAACTGGACCACTCAGATTTTGACACGTGTGCGCGTGTCTAAATGTTGTCAAAAATGGTTGTTCAAGTGTCATTTTCCCATGTTATAACAAACATCACTTACTTATTGCAAGTGAAGTTATGACATGTTCCTTTCCATTTCTGTGGTGGAGGACCAAAGCCTTCGTCGGTGAAGCTTGAGGAATTAGGCCAAATTCCACTGTCGAGTACTCCAACGATTGTGTTACTTTCTACCTTTGTTCTTTGGACATTTTCAGGGAAGCCAAGAAAGTCCCAGGACCTTGATGTTTGGACACTGTGGACTCTATTTGGAATAACAGAAACCACATCATCCCTTCCTGCCAAACATTCCAAATTTTCACAAAAATGTATACATCATAATTAGTTACATATATAGACTTAATCATAATAAAATTACCTTTCATTCTTTCTGATTCTTCTTTGGTTAGTCTCGCCACAAATCCATTGAAACTCTTGTAGCTGTGAACCAAAGTATCTGGTGCAAGTTTTCTGGATGGATATATGCCATTTCGAATTTTAAATTATGAGTTAGCTTAGTTGTAAAGTTAGAAGAGAAAGTAATAGAAATTGTGGGTTCCATTCCCTCCTCAAATATTTGGGAGTTATAAGATTAGTTTAAAAGATTTAGAAAAAAAAGATAAGAGATTCCGAATTTAACTTTTTCACTAAGAAAATACTAATAATTAATAATTATCGATAAAAAAAAGAGTTATTTTAGTTAAAACACTCTTATTTTATATGTAATAGGTTTAAAATATTAGAATTGCTCTTCTTTTGGAGCATTCTATTTCATTCGTTTTTCGTTTACGGCCTTCAAAAATAAGTCACAAGATTACTTGGATTTGTAAATGTTACGCAGGCAAACAGAGAACTATTATTAAATAATGTTAAACTAAGCCCCTTAATAGTGTACATCTGCTCTCTAAGTTGAAGTGGAATCAATCAAAGCCTACGAATTTAAAATATGTCTGGTTTGACACATTTCTATAACTAATTATAATTTGTTTTGTAATTATGATTAATTATTTGAAAATTGTATATCCGAGCTCACAGGTTCATATATATTGAAATGATTATATATGTACGAAAAAATATGAATCGAGTGTTATCTCCAAACAAAGCAACATTTATATAAAAGCTAACATTTGAAATATAATAAGAAACGAAAATAGGAAGCCATTTTTGATTAATGTTCTAATGAAAATTGGGAGCTAGAATTGTGTAATAATATATGACCTGCTGATGACACTTTGAACCATACTAGTATGCAGTGATTCTGTGAGTTCCATGCCCTTCGGATATTCACCCATGTAGACTATGTAAATCTGTATTAGATTAGAATATGACCAAGATAAATTAAAGAAATAAAGATAAATTTAAAATAATAGTCCTACTAGGTTTAATTCATGTGGATGCTTAAACATCGATACTATGTTCAACCTTGCATAAAGTCATTTTTAGGTTAATTTGTTTATTTTAAAAATAATCCAAGCTCTTCTTAACTTGAAAGATTTCCAATATTTTTTTATAAAAAAAATGTATCATTAGAATTGTTTTAAAAAATACATGAAAAGATAAGAACGTAAGAGTAATTTATGGAAAGATAGAGCTTCTGAAGTATTGTACACAATTAGAAGATATAGCTGAAGTATATGTATGGAAAAGTATATGGTATATATGTTATTTACCTTTCGATCATCTTTAGAAAATGACGGAGTGAGTAGCAGAGTGCAGGTAAGAATTTGGAGAAGATGCGACAACCCTAAAGTCTTCATCTTTAGTAATCTTCACAAAAAAGATGAATGTGTTTTCAACCTCTTTCAACCTGTGAGTAAATTAATTTGGAATTGGAAATTGTAAATAGAAGCCTACAGTCATGTACATAAATAATTGGGAATAAAAACAGTAACAATTACAAAAAGTTAAGATGAAAACATATAGACATATACATTAATAAGAAGAACATCATACTAATCTTTGTCCTTTAATTGGAATTGGAAATTATTGTAAATATACATTATTCCTAACATTTTAAATTATTGTAAACTTTGTCCTTTAATTATGTATATGTAAGTATCAAAAGACGTTAACATGTCACTACGGTTTTAAATTATTTCTAAAATGCACATATTTAAAATTATTTTTAATACAATGACCACTTTATTTTTTTCCTTTATTTTCTCCTTTTGTACTTATCTTCATCTTCCTCCCCCAACACCAAATCCTCAACACTATTTACGTTTTGAAAATCGTCTCTTTCTCTCTCTCTAAACTTCTGCACTGTATTAAGAGTGAACTAGTCACCAAAATTATTAGGGATGATGTTAATCTTAATGTTTGCCGAAATTAAGAGAAAGTAATTATATATGATTTGGTTCATTTTGAGAAAAAAATAATTATCCAAAATTTTAATATAAAAAAATGTCTGCAATATGATGAGATTTTGTTCAGATGAAAATTATAAAACTGCAATTTAATGCGAATATTTTTAAGATTAAAATAATCTTATTATGTACTGTTTCACAATTATTTAACTTGAAGAACTAGTAAGGATTGAATTTAAAATACCGAATAAATAATTAATATAAAAAAGTATAATCACATTTTACTGCTTTACGTCACTTATCAAGCCAAACCAATGATAGAAATTGCATGGTTTGAAAAAATAAATAAATACAATTTGATGAAGTTTGATTTTGATGGTTTATTATTTAGTGGTGTTCCTATTTCATCTAATAGACATATTAAAAACAGGATTTAATAACATTAATTATGAAATAGTCGAAACATACATCTGGATCATGTTTACATATCATAACAAAATATCACTAATTCTTATAAATAGAGAGAGAACCTTGTTATTCAAGCTTATATATGAAAGAATGGAAAAAGAGCATTCTTATAAATATACAACTCAAAGAAAGAAGCAATAGAAAATTATTGGAAGAAAAAAAGATTATAAATGAATAAGGTATTAGAAATAAGAATAGAGAAGGGACATACTCAACTTAGTCGACCACACATGTTTATCTTTCTTGAGTGAGAAATGATGTGAATATAGAAACACTCTTTCTCACCTTTTATAGCCACTACATTGGATGCCATCATCATGCTCCACTTTTTGCACATTTAATTTTATAAGAACAAAAATTAATTTCATAGATCTTTAAAGAAAAAAGAAAAAAACTTTTACACTCCAATAGAAATTGGAGTTTTATCATTGTGATATAAGTGTACTTCTTTCATATTTTATATATTAAGTCCTCTTTGTTAAAATAATTTTTATAAGTGTACATCTTTTTACTTAATATATATATATATATATATATATATATATATATATATATATATATATATATATATATATTATATCTAGCTTAGTTTTGTAAAATTAATTTATGAAATAAGATTTTTATTCTTTTATAAATCATAATTTAATTTGAAATTGAATTTCCAATAGTTGAATAAAGAAATAATGCATTATTTTCTATTTTTATCTAAAAATGACGTAAGATTATGCTAACCTAACGTAATCTATATACCGTCATCTTTGGCTTTTTTGACTGGTAGGAAAAAAAATCCAGCTAACTACAAACTTTTGCTCTTAGCTTTATTCTCTCTCTTAATCAAACTGGTTTGTCCCTCCTCATGTGACACTTGGAGTCTCCAACACCACACACTCTTCACTCTGTGTTACCGCGCATGAGACATAGAGTGTCATTTATATAAATTTTTTTTTTGTAGAAATATATGTCTCATTTGAAATTTTATGTATCATATCAAAAAGTACTTATAAATTTATTATTTTAAAGTTTTAGATTGAAGGTGAAATGAATTTCTTTTATAAATTAAGAATTGAACTAAAATAAAATAATTATAAATCAAAACATGGTAGTATTGCATGATTAATTCAAAAGTCGAAAATTCAATGTTTCTTTTAAGACAATAATGTAAGAGATATAAATTGGAAATAGAGAGAGAACCTTGTTATACAAGCTTATGTATGAAAGAATGGAAAAAGAGCATTCTTATAAATATACAACCCAAAGAAATAAGCAATAGAAAATTATTGGGAGAAAAAATATATAAATGAATAAGGTATTAGAAATAGGAATAGAGAATGGACATAGCACACATGTTAATCTGTCTTGAGTGAGAAATGATGTGAATATAGAGACACTCTTTCTCACCTTTTATAGCCACTACATTGGATGCCATCATGCTCCACTTTTTTCACATTTCATTTCTAAGCACATAAATTAATTTCATAGATCTTTAAAGAAAAAAGAAATGACTTTTACACTCCATATTGGAGTTTCATCATTGTAATATAAGTGTACTTCTTTCATATTTTATATATTAAGCCCTCTTTGCTAAAATAATTTTTAGAAGAATTTCTTTTAATTGGTGGAATAGAAATTTTTTCTTCTTTAAAAAGATATCCATCATTTACACATAAACCTTGTTGAGACTTATGCAAACATTTTTCATAAATAGTAGAAAAATTAGAATTTTAAGAATATAATTTAGCTATGTTATTAAATCAAAGAATTTAGGCTCCATTATAGCTAAAAGATGTTTCTTCTTGAGTTGCTCCAAATACTTTAATCATTTGACATGCTTATTTTGTAATTTGTGTTGACCCTTCAAATATTTGTGTAACTCATAGTCATTATGAATGACAAATTTCATTGAAACAAAGTAATGTTTCCAAGTTTGAACAATTTTTATTAGAGCATAGAACTCCTTACCATAAGTGGGATACTTACGAGAGGTAATATGAAGTTTTTCACTAAAATAAGAAATTGGGTATCCTTCTTGCAATAAAACTGCACATATGCCAACTCTCTTAGGCATCACATTCTAACTCAAAAGTTTTGGAAAAGTTTAGTAAAATTACAATTGGTATCTGTCGTAGTGAGTTTCTCTTTGAGGAGATCAAAGATTTTTTGTTATTTTTCTCTCAATTAAATGTGATATCTTTCTTCACTAACTCATTAAGTTGTGAAACTAGACTAGCAAAGTTAGGAACAAATCTTTTATTAAAGTTTGCTAAACTATTAAAGCTCATAACTTCAACATTCTTTGAAACTGATCAATTTGGATGACCATTTTGGATTACTTTTATTTCTCAGGATCAACATAAACCCTTTATTTATTGACCACAAAACCTAATAAAATGATTCTATATGTACAAAAAGTTATCTAAAACAAATAATTGATCCTAAAAATAATGATATATACTCTTACTATATACTAAAATGTCATCAAAATAAATCACTACATATTATACATTTTTTTTTCTACAGGAAATAATATAATATTTTTTTCTACACAAATTATTAATGTATTGATTGTTGCTCAAATTTTTGTCATGTGTTTTCTTTTATTTTGGTTCAAATCTCATCATGTTTGTCATCAAGTGCAATGCTTCACCCGTGGACTCGTGTCGTATTTTTAAGGCCCAGTCTAATTCATATCCATTATCAAAGGAATCACAACCAATAAGAAAAACAAAACCAACATGTATTTTTCGACATAACATGTTTGTCATCACATCTATATGTATAACAATGATTAAGTACCCAATGGTTTTATTTATTTTAGTAGAAACTGGTCTGTTTTGATTACACAAAAGTGTCATTTTATTTATTTTAAATATAGTGAAAGAATTAATAGAAATTTTGTTTTAATTTTCTGCCTTTTCATACATCATTTCCCATTAAAAAATTCATTAATTTTAAGAGTTGCTGTCAAACTAATTTATAATAAACAGTAATAGAAAAAATTAAATAATATGGACAACTTTATAACAAATAATATTCGTGGGATCTTAACATTTAAAATACAAACAAACTTTCTTAGCAAAGATATATATGATAATAATTAAGTTTGGAAATAGAGGAAGGGACCATTAATTAATTAAACTATATTTAATATAAATAGACAGAACGTTTTAGATTTTTACTTTTAAGAAATCACAAGAACAATCAGTTTGAAAAAAAAAAATTGTCTTGTTGAACATTTTTATTTTTAACTCATCATTGGTAAAATAAAAAATGCATTTTACAATACTTATTTAAAAATTATGTAAGAGAAAAAACAGTGAGTAGTTTTATAAGTATGTGGGAAGTTGTCTATTGCCAATGTCTATTTACAAGTGAGGTGACTTTAATATCAATTATAAAAATTCCATCTATTTATATATTGGTTTAATATTGGTTTAATAGGTCGGAAGTGTGCGGGTTAGTTTCAATTGGGTCTCTAATTTGGGGGAGTGATCAATGTTCCCTGTTTTATAAAATGAATCAATAATGTCTTGCCGTAACTCTTAGTAAACGGTGTTAATTTTTTAGGGAGGTGGACATGCTGAGGTGGCTGTTTTAATTATCACAGTCACGATGTGTGGAATCCCGAAAACTCTCACTCTCTTTGGGAGGCGTTGATGACTAGAAGAAGACAAATTTTGGAAATCTCGCATCAATGGAATCTCACTGGTCAGCAAATCGACGCCAGTTAAACATCAATGAGGGAATTTGAGTGTTTTTGTTGAAAAGTTGGAATTTGAGTCCCTCTTTGAGAAAAAAGCCCTTGGGATCCACAATAAATACGGTGAATATGGGTGAAGACGAGAGGGTGTGAGGTTTGCTGAAGCGAGTGACAGGAGGGAAAAATAGAGAATCGGAAAAAAAAGTATATTGAAAGAGAAAGAGGGACGCGGAAAAGGAAAGGCAGTGTGAGTGTTGAGATGAGTTGCAACACAAGTGGGAAGATGGAAGTAAGTAGAGTGAAGTGAAGGGGAAAGATGATTACTCAACTGGAATAGAAAATCAAGAGATTGGAATTCTGAGTTGCCTATTTTGGGTCAGGTAGCTCGTGTCTGCAAAATTGGTAAAATCTGCAAAATTGGGGAAATTACAGAAGGTGTTCGTGGGGTTGTCGGCGGCGAGCGGCTGCCGCCGAACGTTTCTGACGCGACGCAACAGCCTTACCGGTTCTAGGAGCTGAAGTCTTGGAAGGTGTTCGTGGAGTTTCATCACGGCGAGTGGTTGGTGAAGGATCTGAAGACGGCGGTGGCGACTGCCGGCGACTTGACCCAGATGCAAGTTCAGGTGGAGATGGTGGGGAGCCTTCTTGGGGTGGCACCACCTTCCGTGCCGATGCCTCGATCGGTTACTTTGGCTAACGATGGATTTGTCCTTTAATCATGTATATATACGTAAATGTAACATCCCAAAAATACAGTAATAAACCATACAATAGAATAATCACATTAATTAATATATCAGTTCAGTCTTATACTAAACAACGCACGATCACGACCTGTAACATCCCAATATCTCACACTGGATAATTCATAATTATATATGTGTAACATACATTTACGTTAATATCCCCGTAATCTCACACTTATAAATTCATAGTTAATATATGTCTACACATGTTTTAACTCAAATTCAACTATAAACTCATAAATATTAATTCAGAATTCTTCTAATTATTCTTCTGTCTCTCTCTTCATTGGCACTGGATCAGACGACATCCTCATCTGCTCCCGTTAGAACGAATTATACGATACGCACAACTCCAAACAAAACAAACACAAACAAGAAGTAGGGTGAGTAACATGCACAAATTCATTTATAAAACATGGATAATTACCTTGATATAAACATATATCAATAATTATGTTCGAAACCCTCATACCACAAGTCCTATTAGACACTCGTCTCACAATACCCAATAGACACCCACAATACCCAATAAAACACTCATCGTGATACGTTGATGAGCGGTCACGGGGAGGTTATGCACTTGTAATGACTTCTACTTCTTTTACCAAATACAACTTTCAAAATACTTCATACCATTCACAAGGTTAATCCCCTCACTATGTCCAACACCGGCACAATAGACCAGGACCTCTGCTCCTCTCACCACATAATTCATCCCTCTCTACTTGAGACTAGATGATTATTAGAGTATCAGGATAAACCTCCAAACTACGGGACCCTCAACATCAACATATACACAA